TGTACTTCTCTTTCATACACAGAGAAGTCTGTTTTCACTTTCTCAGACTATCCTCATACCCCTTGATGTGTAACTGACAAAGGAGACACTCAGACATACCTGCTTCTGGGTTTAGCTTGGTGTCTTTTCAGTTACCATGCTGAATTTTGGCTTGCTCTTGTCTCCTGACCTGAGTAAAATTTTGTACCTGCTTACTCTGAACCCTTAGGCATATATCACTACAACCCTGTCCTGTGAACATCACCAGGTCCGATGGGTGCTACCTCTTGGTGCTATTGGCTGGGCTACTTCTCTTTATCTTCCAGATAGTAACCTATGTTAGAGTCCTAGAATTTTTTGTTTTTGTAAATTTTTCATTAACACATTTGTTCTTAAGTAACTGGCAAGAGCCGATGCATACTAGAAATGAAGAAATATAAAGTATATCTTTTTTCCCCCCTCACGAAGGTGTCACAGCAGCTACCGTGGGCTGCCAGGAACTGTAAGAAAGTGTTGATGTGGACAGCAAGGGCTTGGAGCAGATCACATACTCCTGCATCTTGCTGTAAACCTTGAGGAAAAGCAAGGGCTTGGAGCAGACCACTCACTCCTGCATCTTGCTGTAAACCTTGAGCTTGTGCCAATGTGGCCTGGAAGGCCACAGCACCATATGTGCAACGTTTGCACAGGAGAACAGAACCTAGTGATGACTGCTGCCATGCATGGCGTGGCTAAGTGAGCAAGAATCCTTCCCAAAGTGGTGAAACAAGCCAGAGGCTGCATAGTCACACAGTAGGAAGTACAAAGGCTGGCCACACTGATCCTAGGTATTGGAGGTCGTCTGGGCATGGAACAGTGGTGGTTAGCTGCTGCTTCTGAACATGTGAGCTCCTTGTGAATGCTGTCAGCCTGATGAAGTGTGCTGGGAAAAGATTGCACACAGTCCCAAGCCTTTCTTTCCTCCCAGCTTCTGCAGCCTCTGTCTTGGAACAAATTCCAGGGGAAGCTTGGAAGGCTTGAGCTCACCAGGGCCTCTCTTTGTTGCCTTGTGACCCAGCCTTGGCTATGGGATAGGCAAGAAATGTAGCTTGTTCTGGTTTAACAGAACTTTCTATGGCTGTTTTCTTCACAGACTTTGCCCTGGTCTAGATGTGTGAAAGGGCTAGCCTTTTCTGTAGTCTGCTAGGGTCCTTTGGTAGGTAGTAACATCTGACTGTCACAGACCACATCTTCCAAAAGGAAAGTTTCAGGAGGGACTCCTCTCTGGCCTGATGGCCCTATGGCATGTGTGAATCGGTAGCCTACAGGCTGGTTAAATTCCTGAGACTCTTATGATAGCTACCTGTGCCTTTAAGCCAGGACCTCTGGCTTGGTTGTGGCCAGGTCCGGAAAGCCCTTCTCTGTTCCGCATACCACCATTTGTGGACTGGAGTGCTGCACTACCTCTCAGTCAGCCACCAGATTCCTGGCCAGGGCTTCTGCACTAAGACCAAGTATGACATCTGCCAAAGGCCCTTCAGGAGAGAATCCTGCGACCTCTGAGGTTTGTCCCTGGTATTCAGGAAAACCTGTCCTCATTGCTCTGAACCCTGTAGAGGAGCCTGCATTTTTCCCTCCAGCTGGAATTCCACCCCTCACACCCTCCATTCAAACTTCCTATCTGCTCGGTGTCTTTGACTTTTCCCTCCGGCCTCCATCTGTGCTGGGTTCCTCTCCTTTCGGGCCTGTCTTTCTCTACAACTCCCGCTCACCTTACCCTCTGCCCCATTTCACTGTACATTGCTGAAGGTGAGCTTCTTAGTCATTCTGACAGTGCCTGAAGATAGGCATTCTATCCTTGCCTGTAATCTAAGCTGTGGGGAGGCTGAGGCAGGAGGACCGTGAGTTCTAGGCCTACTTTGACTATATAATATAGCAAGATGCCCCCAGGGGCTGGAGAGATGGCTCAGGGCTTAAGAGAGGAGTAGGGTTCCATCCCTGGCAACCACATGGGTCTCCCAGCCATTTTAACTCCAGTTCCAGGGAGTCTTACGTTTTATGACCCCCAGGGGAAACAGTCATACATCAGGTAACATACATACATGGAGGCAAAACATTCATACACAAAGTTTAATAAAATCTTAAGACACTTCTTTCCCTGTTGTGTGATGTCTTACTCTTTTGGCTTTTTGAGGGGCTCACCACCCAACACCCAAATAAATCACACAGAGAGGCTTATTCTTAGTTATAAATGCCCGTCCTTCACTTGGCTTGTTTCTTGCCAGCTTTTCTTAAGTTTCCTTTCCTTCTTACTCTGTCTGGCTAGGTAGCTGGGTGGCTGGCCCCTGAAGTCCTCCTCCTCTCTCGTTCCCAGAACCTTTTTCTTTCCAAATTCCTCCTCATATTTATTCTCTGCCTGCCAGTCCTGCCTATTTCTCTCTCCTGCCATTCAGCTCTTTATTATGACCACCAGGTGTTTTAGACAGGCACAGTAACACAGCTTCACAGAGTTCAACAAATGCAGCGTAAACAAAAGTCACACCTTAAAATAATATTCCCCACACTTCCCGTTTGTAGTGTGTCTAGGCGAGGTCCCAGGTGGTGAGAGGGGAGCAGGGTAAATGCATTCTATCAGGCCCATGTCACACTGTCATTTGGGGTAAAGATAGGGTGGTATGAGTTTTAATTGTCAACTTGACACAACATACAATCACATGGGAAAGAGTTTTATTGAGGGACTGCTTGATCAGTTTGGCCTGTGGGTGTGTCTTGTGGGAGACAGTTTTGATTGTATTTATTGAAGCAGAAGACTCAGCCACATGGGCCCCACCATTCTGGGGGGTCCTGGGCTGTGTCTGTGCAGAGAGTGAGTGAGCAGGAGTGCATACATTTATTTTTTTCTGCATTTGACAAGTTCCTTCAGTGTGATGTCCCTTAATGATGGGCTATAACCTGGAATTATGAGCCAAGCAGACCCTTTCTCCCCTAAGTGCATTTTGTCAAACACAGGTATGTTCTCTTAATTTTTCAAAGAAAGGGGAGAAAATTAAAGCTTAGACACCACACTTTATGTGAATTCTGAGTGGAAAAGCAGTAATTCCTGTTGAGTTTCCAACAGTGCTAGTTACTCCCAGGATCCTCCCTCCACACATGCTCAATAGGCTCTTAGGTACCCTTCTGGTTTTGTTGGAATGTGAGCTTATGGTTTTAGAAATCTAGGACTTTCAAAACAGATGCTCAGACCAGGAAGTCCCTGGAAATGACTGTGTTTGCAATATGCCCTGTTTTACATCAATTAAGCAGAATTCTAGGCTCCTAGGCTTTAGCCAACCTGGGCTCAGGGGCTCAGCTGTCCGGATCTCATAGCCCAGTCTCTATATTGCCTTACACAGCCATTTCAGTGACTCAGGATACTAGAAACCATGCATTAAAATAGAGATTTCACATTGAGAATTTAGTCTGGATCTTCTTAATGGATTCTCCTCAGTTGTACCAAGAAGGTGGACAGTCAACAACAGTAAAAGACCACTGTCCCCATACAAAGCAGTCATTTTAATGTCATTTCTAGTATTTCCTGATGTGTGTGGTTACATAACAACATATAAGTTAGTTCATATAAACTTCTGCCAGTGTCTAGCCTGTAGTAAGTACTGGATAATAATAGTTACTCTTATTTTTACCCCACATGAAGGTGTCTATGAAACAGAATCTTGCTTGTGGTTATGGGGTTACTTACTGGAGCTAAAAGTCCCACTTCTTTAGCTATCTTCGGAGGGCGTTCTTTTAGAGTCAGTTATTCTTTGTTTATTGAAACTCAAAAATAAATTCTTCCAAGTCAACTTACTGAGCACTGTACAGTGAGAGGGAGTTGGTGGGGGAGGGCAAAAGGCAGAAGGAGTAAGGGGGCAGTGGGCTTTGATATGCTGTGGGGTGTGCCTCTCTGCTATCACTGCCTGCAGGTGAAGGCAGTTTGTCTGCGAGTGGGGGCACAGTGAAGTGTGGCAAAAGTCTCACAGTTGGGAGTATCCATGCTTCTTGGTTTGTTATTGGGGTATCACTTGATAAATGCATAAGTTGGAAATACATTCAATCCACAAAACCTACAGCTCATAGCTCAGCATGCTGTGGAACCTCATACTTCTCATACTTCTTGTGATCTTGGGGCAGCTGGTAGCTCTGGCAGCTGACTATTTTAGAGAGGATCAGGCCAGGAGAAACATCCAAGCGCACAACAGCCTCAAGCTAGTGTCTCCCAAGTGCCTGTTTTCTTCCTCATTATAAGAGGAAGACTCCCAAGCTCAACTTTACTGAATGTAACACTCTCTGGCTCTCTCTCTCTCTTCCTTTTTAAAGGTGTATTTATTCCTTGTGTATGCGTGTTTTGCCTGCATGTATGTATGTGCACTGAATTTGCAGCTGGCGCCTGAAAAGGACATCAGATCCTTTGGAGTTAAAATGGTTGTGGCCTACCCTGTGGGTGGTGGGAATTGAATCATGGTCCTCTGGAAGAGCAACACTTAACTGCTGAGCCAGCTCTCCAGCCCCTTAAGTCCATTCTCAAGATAAACTATGTGCAAACCATTTTCAGCTGCAGTAGGGGATATCCTTCAATATGACGAGTTTTGATCTCTTGTCAGAAAACTGGGGAAGGCTTTATCAGGAAAAATTTCCAAAAATGTGAAGGATCACAGCCTCAGGTGGGTAAAGATGTTGGGTAAAGCCACAGGGACTGTGGTGTGGGTCAGGGATTAATTGATATTAGGGACAAGCTAGAAATCTACTTAGCATGTTTAACCCCAAATCTTCAATTTGAGTTTTTCAGAATTACGAGACAATGAGCTGGCAATTGTGTTTGTGGGATATACTCATCTGTGGGCTTCCTGTTATAGAAACCTTCTAGAGACAGCTCCAGAGTCAGATAGTAATGACACTTCTGAGAGGCAATGTGCTTCTTTCTTACTTTCTAGGTAGAATATTTCCAAGTAGCTTTAACATTATGTGAAATGCACAAATGATCATTTTTGTCCCATTTTCTTTTTCAGAGAGTGATGGTCTTCGAAATGAAAACTCTGGAAAATTGTAGGTTCTCGTTAGGAACTACAGAAATTGAAGGACAGAAAATGTTTGAAAGGAAGTTGTTCTGAAAGCATGTTTACAATTAACTGACCCTATTGACTGTTCTGTTTTTAAATAAGACACTTTGAGAAGATTGTATTTATGGTTAAAGGAAACTGGACTAACGATGAGGCCAAAGACTTTTCCTGCCACAACTTACTCTGGAAATAGCCGGCAGCGATTGCAAGAGATCCGAGAGGGGCTGAAGCAGCCATCCAAGTCTTCCACCCAGGGGCTGCCTGTGGGACCAAACAGTGACACTTCCCTGGATGCCAAAGTCCTGGGAAGCAAAGATGCCTCCAGGCAGCAACAATTGAGAGCCACCCCGAAGTTTGGACCTTATCAAAAAGCGCTCAGGGAAATCCGATATTCCCTACTGCCTTTTGCCAATGAATCAGGCACTTCCGCCACTGCGGAAGTAAATCGGCAGATGCTTCAGGAGTTGGTGAATGCGGGATGCGACCAGGTGGGTCCAGCACTTCTGTGGAAACCTTTAACTGTTTAACACATGGCCCTTTTCTGTGTCCTGAGCTGATGGCCACCTTCTCTCCAAGGGTCTTAGCAGCTTTTCCTTCTTGAAGCTGTTCTTTGTTGTGACTTTTCCATTCTGTCGTGTTAGTGTGTACATGTTTGGAAACCAGGGCCCCATGCATGCTAAGCTTATGCTTCCCTACTGAGCTACACCATCTTACAATTTATTCTTAGCCTTTCCTTTCTTTCTTTGGGACCCACTTGGGATTATCCTGAGCTTCTGTGGGAAGAGCCTGACTTCTCTTACATTGTTTTTGGTTTGTACATTTACTTCCTTTCTGTAGGGGTGCTATTTAACATGTATTGACTGATCTGTTTTTTTCTTTAGTTTTGTTAAAATTTTTTTCTTTGACAATTTTATACCTATAATTATTCATTTATTTACATTTTGAGACAAAGTCTTATATAACTCATGCCTTGATCCTCCTGCAAGCACCTCCCTAGTACTGGGATTGTAGATGTGTGCCTCCATAGTCAGCTGTCTTCTATTTTACAAAATAGTGTGTGCACTGTTACAGAAGATATGCTCAGAAAGACAGAAGCATTGCTAGACGACGTGGGAGTCATCAAAATGAGGTTGCATACCCTGCCCTCTCAGTGGCTCAGAATCAGTCTCCACTGATGAGCAGAGAGCACCTGTTATGTGACAGCATACAACTCAGAACTGCATGTTTAGGATCCAAGTTGAAGGACAGGACCATAGAAAGGGAGCCACTGTCCAACCAAGTATAAATGTAATAAGAAAAATGTAACTGTGTTATGGAATGGCTTGTGAAAGCCAACAATGTATTTCCATGTACCATTGTAAAAGTCACAGTGTGTGTACTAGAAACTAGTGAAGTTTTTTTTTTGTTTTTTGTTTTGTTTTTTTTTTTTTGGCTGCCTTAGACAGTAAGATTTGCTCCAAGAATATCAGGTTGGTTTAAATGTTTTTAGTTTTTTAGAAATAGTTTAATGACTGGATCACAGTCATAGCATAGGCTAACTGGGTCACCCTTTACTTCCAAAGGGACTTTCACCAATGATTGGATCATAGTTGTAGCACAGGCTAGCCATGTTACCCTTCATTTCCAAAGGGACTATCACTCCTCTTGTGGTTTGCTGCTACAGATTTAGAGAGTTGATTACTGAGATAATGTGCTTGTGAAACATCCCCTCCCCCTTTTGTAATGTCCTCTCTGACATGTGGGGATGTGCTGGACTTTAACTTGGCTCTCATTGGCACTGTTCATGGAGTGTCTTGTACAGCACAGCTTCAGTTACATACTGAGTAATGTATAGCGTGCTGTAGCCGTGGAGGCTGACAGCAGCTGCAGTCCCGTCTTATTGTGAGAATGCACAGCCCTGGAGAAACAGTGGGTGAGGTTGAAGAGGGGCTTTCAGGCCAATAGCAAATCTTAGGATCCTCTTCTAATGTAAATCACTTGTAGACAAAAGAGGCCATCAGAGCCTGGTGGGTTTTGGAGAAAGAAACAAGTCAAACAAATAATTCAGAGTACAGGTGGGTTCTTATTAAAGTAAAATCCATTAGTGTTAATTGCAGAGCAAAAATTGAACTGGATGCTTCTCTAATACAGTGAAATGTAAATACATGGGAGCTAAGGCTCCTGATGCCTGCAAAGGGCCCATCCATCCACATCTAATTTATGTTAATTGCTAGCAGAAAGGTCTCTCATTTACGGTATTTAATGCTCCCTAAATAATTCAGTTTGTTGTGTAGTGTTACTTTAAAACTCAAAACAGCTGTGCCTCCAACTCAGACAAGCCCCTTTGCTTTCAGAGGGTTCTGGTAGGAAAGTCATTGTGTGAACACACACAACAGAGGGGAAGATTGACAGTACCAGAGCAGTGTATGGGTGGGTTGAAGCTCATTGTTAGAATCTGGGCACCAGGTGAAGGCGTTCTTACCGCAGTAGCTTCTTCTTTGTCCCTGTTACATTAGGTGCCTTGTTTAGATGCAACTTTGTTCTCCCCTAGTGTGACTTGTTTTTGTATCCAACAGAGTGATAGTACCATGTTTCCCCATGGGGCCTAGTGGTAATAGTTCATGCTTTTTATACACACACACACACACACACACACACACACACACACACACACACACAGAGTCTCTTTTTGAGCCAGGTTTTTATTGTATGTTCAAGCTGGCCTTGAACTCCTGAGCTCAAGAGAACCTTCTGTTTGCTCTATTTGACTTAACTCCACAAGTAATATCTTCTCACCAGTGCACATGCGCATGCATTTTTCTATGTTATTTGTACAATGGCTAGTTGAAAATACTTACTTGACTGCTTGAAATGGGCATTTTCTTTTAAACATTATATTAAAGTAAATTTACATCTTAAACATGCACAATTTATAAAATTTGTAGCACCATGAATTTTCATACATTAGTACCCATCTAGCATGTCTGGGTACTTTTGTAATCAAACCTTTTTAAATGGAAGTATCAGGAAGAAATGAAAGCTGTTAGGGTATTTTCAATGTAACAATGTAATGTGTTTGCCAAATGATATACTGTGTACATAATATGCATAGCTTTTGTGAATAAATGACACTAAGCCTGATGAAATAAGTAGGAAATTAAATGTTCTAGAAGCAGCTAGCTGTTCTTCAACTAGAGATTCAGGCCTTGGAAGGTGAGGTTCTGCTTACCTTATCACACTCTGCTGCTTTGGGTCCATGTGGGGTGGTAGCATATCTCTGCCCCACATCTGTGTGGAGCTTGCATTATCTCCCTAAGCTATAGTGGGTGACAGACAGGTGGAGTACTCACTTGGGAGTGCAGGTGTTGCAGGGTTGATGTGTGGAGCACCTGCATGGTGTGGAGGGTTGCAGAGTTCTTGGGTGATAGGCAGAGCATGTACATGTAGGTACAGAGGTGTTGCTGGTCGACAGGCAGAGCACCTGCATGGTAGTGTGGGGGCTGAAGGGGTGTTTCTGCATGACAGGCAGAGCACCTGCATGGGGGTGCAGAGTGTTGCTAGATAGCATGGCTAAGGTGTAGGAGTGTCGCTGGCTTGCACATCCAGCCATGTAGGGGTATTTGGCTTCCTGTTCTCAGGGAGCCTGGGATGTTTTGGAACCTGAGATCTTGAGGGGTGTGGAACCAAGTGCATATGCTTGGCTCCTGGCTGTCTAGAATAGCACCTTCCTCTGGTTGTGTTCCCTAGGGGAGGACTAAATGAGAAATTTCTTTTCAGATGTGAGTAGTAGGAAATGTCCTTGCCTCCCTTGAGGAATGATGTTTCCCCCTAGACTCCTATATCTGACCTGTGGTTTGTGCTGTCTATAACGAGACTGTAGTCTGTAGCTCCATGTCTTCAACAGATCCTTGGTCCTGGTTTTCCGTGTCAACTGTGATTTTCCTAACCCACCCCACATGTGCTCAAATAATTGAGATCTTTAATGGAATAGGGCAGAGAGAATGTAAACAAACTGACTTTCTTTATAGAGGGGCAGGAGCACAGGCGGTGATGGTCAGGATGTGCCTTCCCTCTGCGGCTTCCTGACAACAGCAGGCCCAGCTAGGGGTGAGCTGGATGCTGTGGGAAATAAGCAAAGGAAGTCAGTTAGTGACGTTTTTAAGCCGTCAAGGGAAGAGCATGAAATTTCCCTAACACTCACACAAGCAAAGGGGCAGAGGCTCTGTACCAGCTCCCCTAGGAGTGAGTGGGCTGTGTGCAGCAGAGTCCTCTGGGCTTGTTCTTTGTTACAGCTGCACAGCAGCTGTGGCATGGGCTGCAGCCCCCGTTAAAGCTGTAGTGAGTTGAGGGGAGTCCAGCAGACAGCCCCACCTGGTGTGCTTGCCAGTGGCTGCTCTTGAGTGCCCGACTCCCATTGTGGTGTTTGTGTGTTCTGGCTTGGACTGTCACTAGGCTCAGTGCTGGATGGCTGCTGGCTTTTCAGTCTTGTTTTCCATGGACTGTGACTTTTCCCTCTTGTCCCCCATACCCACTATGGGTGTGGGCTCTCGTCGCCTCCTCGTCTGTCATTGTGCTGGTTGAGTGAGCAGTGCTTGCTGATCCCCAGTGCTCTGGCTGCAGCTGTCGTCCTCAGCACACTCTCAACTGGCTCCTCCGACTCACTGTCTGTTTGGGGACTTTCAGGGTGCCATTTTGTAGCTTCCCACCTCCCTAGAGGGTTCCTAGCATCTCCCAAGCTTGTTCTGTTTTTGTAGCAGGCTTTTCCTGAAGCCCCCATGTTCCTGTTTAGCCCTCCATAGCAATTTGTTTCTGACTCATAGTGCATTTGATTGGTAAGGCCTGAGTTGGCAGGCTGTGAATACCGTTGTCTCACTTCCCCTCCTCTGAGGCCTGGGCTCCTAAGAGTTCTCCCAAAGGCTTCCCAGCTGCTGGTTAATATTTGCCAAAGCAGATGTGATGCATGCACTGGTCCAGGTGAAAGCGCCAGCCACGCCCCCACACCAGATAAGGAGGGATAGTCGGTAATCCCACAAAGCACGTATTCCGTGTGAAGATCATTTGCTCTACAGGAAAAGAGCCACAGAGAGCTAGATGTGGTGTGCACACCTGTAACCAGGTGCTGAGCGTGAGTCCTCCCTGGGCTACATAGGGAGACCCTGTCCTAAGCAGGTGAGCGTGAAAAAGCTAAGCTGTGCTTGGCTTTGTGACAGGATCTGCCTTGAGTGAATCTCAAGTTACAGTGATTGGCCAGTGGGAGGACAGCTGAGTTAGGTCTCAGACACCTTCCTTTCTCTGGAAAGGACCCACCTTTGAGCATGAGTGCCCTCCTGAAACACTAGTCCCTGAGGAAGGAGGAAGGCCTCCTTTCAGTTTGCAACCCTGGTGACAGGAAACAGCTCACAATGGGCTTTGGGTGGGACAGCGGCTTGCCTATCACCTTCTTCTTCTAATGGCTTTCAAATCAAATTTGGCCTTGCCAAAAAATAAAGCACATACTTTTTGGAAAAGG